ATATAATAAAGGGCAAACAGCTATTTTGTATTGCCGAACAGGGCCATCAGTCTGGCACAAATGTAACTAAAATCGTTAAATGCTGAAGTCCACTGATACGGGGGGGGGGAAGCATAAACTAATTTATGAGAACACAATTAAGTAAGCACGCCTACATACCTGACTATGCACACTACCCTCAAACAGATTATCACACGTGCGCTCGAAAGATGCCAGAGCAAAGGTGCTGTCCTTCATCTTAGAGATACCATGACGTTGAATACCCAGAATCTCGCCTTTGCAACTCATCAGATCAGCGAGTAACATCAGATGCCTCGTATCCACCTGGCATGGATGGAGTGGTCATGTACACACGTGTTATTTCCTGTGGTAGGTTGTGTGTATAAATGCCTACATCTACTTGCCATGATAATGACAAACACGTGTGGCGAGTGATTGCTGCCGTCTACATTTGCGTATACGTATTGCGAATGTATTGCCACTGCCGCGCGGCAGTCCACAGTCGCCTGGAACATGGTGTGAGACCGCCAAAACAATTCCATGGTCGATAGAGTCTACAGAACTCATATAGCACACATGTATGCTTATGCACTGATATACTTAATCACGGGATGATAATAGCCTATACTCCACAGATACACGCTGAAGTCCTACAGTTAGAAAGTCCCACTACAATACAGCCACAGAGCCACACAGCCACTCTACCACACCACCACACTCACATCCTAAGACTTTGAACGGCTCCACTGTCTGGAATGCTCCACTGCCATACGTTTGTAGGTATAGAGCAGTGTGTAGCCACAGACCACATCCCACGTTAATTCATAGGTGTGTACATACATTCATAAGTGTGTACGTACATTCATGTGTGTAGGTATATTATTAAGTGTGTAGGTATATTGATAAGCGTGTGGGTACATTCATAAGCGTGTAGGTACATTCACAAGTGTGTAGTTATTGTCCGTGACCCACCTTGATTCCGTAACTACTCATGACATTGTCGATCTGTACAATGATGGTCTGTCTGGCTGCTTCAATGCCCAAAGTCTTCTCCATTTCCATCACGTGATTAGACACCGCCTTCGTGCTGTGGTTTAGTACGCGACCAAAAGAGTCGGAGAAAAAGGCCAGAGAAAATGGGCGAGAATACAGGTATATTCATAGAAATGGAACTAAAAGTGGTAGCGAAAACGGGTCACTATACAACCATATTCATTAAAATGAAACTAAAGGAGTCAGAGAAAACGGGTGAGTATACAGCTGTATTCATTAAAATGGATTTAAAAGCGTTAGCGAAAACGGGCCACTATACAACCATATTCATTAAAATGGAACTATAAGGGTCAACACAAAAGGGTCTGTCACACGGTTGTGTGATAACGTATGGTATGTGACCCCGTACTTTATATATATATGTAATTACAAATACACACACACATATATATATATACACATACATATACATATAAATATACATACACATATACATGTGCAAATACATATACATATACACACACACACATATATATACACAATACATATACCTATACATTTACCTATACCTATACATACACATACACATACACATAGATATACTATACCTGTCTACGCCTGGTGTTGAGAGAACAGTGCTGAGTTCGTTACCCTCCACCAGCAGATTGTAGCCGTTGACCTTAAAGTCCTTCTCTGCCTTGTTGATCACCGCTCGGGTTATCGTTGGGATTCCTGTGGTCCAACATAACATGCGTGTCAATGGCCGAGTATAAGGCCTACGTAGCTGAAGTATACGTGTGATTTGCTATAACACACACTAGCACGTACTACAACCACCCGTGGTCCAACATAACATGCGGTGGCCTTGTCTAAGACCTACGTAGCTAAAGTATACGCGTGCTTGCTATAGCACACACTAGCACGTACTACAACCACCCGTAGTCCAACATAACATGCGATGGCCTTGTCTAAGACCTACGTAGCTAAAGTATACGCGTGCTTGCTATAACACACACTAGCACGTACTACAACCACCCGTGGTCCAACTTAACATGCGATGGCCTAGTCTAAGACCTACGTAGCTAGAGTATACGCGTGCTTGCTATGACACACACTAGAACGTATTAAACCCACCCGTGGTCCAACATAACATGTGTGGCAATGGCCCAGTATAAGCACGAGGCGCGTTGTACCTACCACAGACGATGACGTTGGGTAGCTCTCGTTTGAGGAACTGTATGACGTGGAAGACATTCTTCTCTCGTTTGGACTTGGTCAGGATCATGGGAGGGAACACTCGGATGACGCCCTTATCCTCAAAGGTCTGCATGCGAAGGAAAGGCAAGGTGACTAACTACATGTGTACTATATGTGTCATACAGATATGGGGATAGGATCATGGGAAAGAACACTAGGATGACCCCCTTATCCTCAAAGGTCTACTTGTGAAGGCAAAGTAAGGTGACTGACTATGTGTACTATATGTGTCATGCAGATATGGGGATAGGATCATATGGGAGGGAACACTGGGATCACCCCCTTATCCTCAAGTCTGCATGTGAAGGCAAAGCAAGATGACTGACTATATGTGTCATATAGATATGGGGATAGGATCATGGGAGGGAACAGATAGTATAGCTAAGGCAATAGTGCTCATGTAGTGATGCTATGGTATGTAGGTAATAGTATAGTTCAGGGGGTTGTTCTACAGCCGAGAGATGCGGGGCATCGCTGACAGGATTGGTTCGGCTCAATAAGTTAACATAATCATCAGACCATATTCAAGTACTCAGGTACAAATGCTTAACGTTACTGTAGCGGCTGGTAGACCCGTCGTTAACGTACCCCCAATAGAACTACACATACCTGGATCAGAGCCGGACTCAGCTTGATCTTCAGTTTCTGTGCGTGCTTGCCCATGAGCGCGTCCTCGATGTCGTATACCGTCACGTTCAGACGCAGTAAGCGAATACGCTCGAGATCGAGTTTGATGCTGTGGAGTGGCATGAGGTAACAGCATGTTCGCTCAGTACGGGATGTCGTATGCCGGGAAGTGTGTTGTGATCACGCTCATAGTACGATGTACATATATGGGATAGGGTGACATGTCTGTGTTGGGTTGAATACCGACATGCGCAACGAAGGCACCAACACGCGTTATTGACAGACGACATACGAAAGAAAAATAAGAGCCAAGTTGAATTCAAATTTAAACCAAGTTGCGTCATCACACATAATGTGCACGAGTTCGAATGATCCGAGTAGCTACACATGCCGAGAAATCTGGTGACTTTACAGACATACTAAAACGATTCAATTTTTATTCTTGCGACATCTCCATCAAGATCTAGAAGTACCGTAAATAAACTATACATTTCAACCCACAGGGTATACACATACCACACTTGACCGACACTCATACACACAGCACACATGACCGACACTCATACACACAGAACACATGACCGACACTTGTCGATACACTTCAGTCACTAGCACATACCTGATGTAGAATCACTTTTCCTTGACCACCAACTGCACATAAGACGCTATCTGACACAACATAGTCCGCTCAATGGAGCCTTCAACTAAGTGTACATATTTCTTCTTGTTCGACTGGTAATACTGATCCTCTGAAAAACTAATATATATATATATATATATATAAATATAAATATATATATATATATATATATATAAATATAAATATATATATATATAAATATAAATATATATATA